TGTTCTAGGGTTTCAGGATTGTTGATTCTCTGTTTGGCTTAGTTTTTCGGATCTTTGTTGTGGAGGGACGGCATGGTGCTTCTGCCTAGACCGCCATCTTGCCGGACCATCCCCTTTGGATTATTTTGAGGCAAGTTCATCGTATTATATGAAATGTAGAAACTTCAGTGTGAGTTCCAAAAGAAAGTATTATTTTTAACATAATCTCATATCATTATTACACCTAAAAATAGACAGTTATCCCACAGTATCATCAAATATTCAGTAAATGTTCAGCTTTGACCCCGATTTTTATCTAATAATGTTTTAATTTTTGTAATAAAAAAAATCAAATCCATTGTTGTTGAGTTGATTCCGACTCATAGCGACCCTATAGGACAGAGTAGAACTGCCCCATAGAGTTTCCAAGGAGTGCCTAGTGGATTCAAACTGCTGACCTTTTGGTTAGCAGACGTAGCTCTTAACCACCATGCCACCAGGGTTTCCAGTTTTTGTAATAGGTTTGTTCAAATCAGGATTCAAACAAGGTTCACATGTTGCATTTGATTAATATGTCTCTTCATTCTCTTTTAATTTGTAGGTACCCCTCCCTTTTAATTGTTTTGTTCTTACACTTTATTTTTTGGACCAACTGGTTTGTTTTCCTGTGGAGAGTCTCACATTCTGGATTTTGCTGATTGCATTCCCATGATGTCGTTTAGAGTTATCAGTAACCAATGATGTCATTTAGTGTTGTCAATAATCAAGAAACTATTTCCTTGTAGAACTTACATTTTAGTGGGGGGAGACAGACTTAAAGAAAACAATAAACATAATAAGTAAACTATATGATATGTTAGAAGGTGATAAGTGCCATGGAAAAAATATAGCAAGATAAGAAGGATAAGAAATTCTGGGGGTTGGGAGGAATGTGAGTTGTAATTTTAAATAGCTAGTCAAGATAGGCCACATCAAGAAAGTGATATTTGAATAGAGCAGTGGTTCTCAACGGGGGGGGGGGCAGTTTTTCCCCATAGGGTACACTTGGCAATGTGTGGAGACGTTTTGGGTTGTCACTACAGGTGGAGGGTGCTACTGGCATGTAGTGGGTAGAAGCCAGGAATGCTGTTAAATATCCCATAGTGCACAGGACAGTCCCCCACAACAAGGAATTATTTGGCTCAAGATGTCAATAGTACCAAGGTTGAGAAACCCTGGAATAAAGACTTAAAGGAGGTGTGAATGTTACACTCCAGACAGAGAGAACAGCCTTTGCAGAGGCCCTAAGATGAGTATGGCTGGCTTTTTGGAGGAACTGCAAGTAGACCCAAATGAACGAGAGGAAGAGTAGTAGGAGATGAGGTAAGATAGTTAATGGGGGCCAGATCATGTAGTGCCTTGGGGGTCATTGTAGGGACTTTGGCTTTTATTCTGAGTGAAATGGGGAACCACTGAAGGTTTTGATCAGGGGAAGTCATGATAAGATTCAGGTTTTAGCAGGATCACTCTGGCTATTGTGTCAAGGATGGATTATTGGGGGGCAAGGTAGAAGCAGGGAGAATACTTAGGAGGCTGTTGCAATCGTCCCGGTGAGAGATGATATAGACTCTGCCTGTGGAGGTGGATACAGCTTGAAGATAGAACAACAGGATTTCCTGATGAATTGAGTGTGAAGGGTGAGAGACAGAGGAGTAAAAAATGGCTTCAGGTGTTTGAATGGGGCGAGTGGAAGAATTACCATCAACTGAGATGGGAAGACTGCAGTAGAGCAGACTTTGAGGGGATGATTACTAGTTCAGTTTTAGCCATGTTGCATTTGAGATGCCTGTTAGGCATCTAAGTAGATATGTCAAGTAGACAATTGGATATATTAGTCTGGGGTTCCAGAGATAGAGATTTGAGACTTGTCAAGATAGAAATGGCTTTTACAGCCGTTGGACTGGAAGAGATTGATCACTAAGGGAGTGAGAGTAAATAGAAAAGAGAAGAGGAACATGGACTGAGCCCTGGGGCCTCTCCCATTTTAAGAGGTCTGGGAGAAGAGGAGGAGCCAGCAAAGGAGACTGAGAAGGAGCAGCCAGTGAGGTGGAAGGAGGCCAGGAGAGGGTGGTGTCTTGGAAGTCAAGTGAAGACAGTGAACCAGGGAGGAGGCATTCATCAGCTGTGCCAGATGCTGCTGATGGGTCAAGTAAGGCGAGGACTGAGACTTGACCATCGGCCTTTGGAACAAGGAGGTTGTTGGTATCCCTAATATGAGCAGTTTCAGTGGACCTGAGTAGAGTGGGCAAATGGGAGGAGAGGAATGGGAGACAGTGAATATATATACAATTCTTTTGAAGAGTCTTGCTACAAAGGGGAGCAGACAAATGAGGCAGTAGTTGGTGGGGAGAGTGAGGTCAAGAGAAGGTTGTTATCCTTTATTTTAAAGATGAGAGAATAAGAGCATGCTTGTATGTTGATGGGAATGATCCAGTAGTGAGGGAGGAAAGTAATGGTGCAGGAGAGAGAGAAGGGAGAATTGTTGGAGCAATGAGCATAAGTAAGCATAAACCATTTACTGTCCTGAATTGTATATGTAGAAACGGTTGAATTGGTGTATGTTTTACTGTGTATATTCTCAACAACAAAACAAACAAACAACCCATTTGCTGTTGAGTTGACTCTGACTCATGGTGATCCCATGTGTGTCATAGTAGAACTGTGCTTCATAGGCTTTTCAATGGCTTATTTTTTGGAAGTAGATTGCCGGACCTTTCTTCCGAGGCACTTCTGGGTGAACTTGAACTGCCAACCTTTTGATTAGCAGCTGAGCGTGTTAACCGTTTGCACCACCCAGGGACTTCTAAGTAAGCTTAGACATTTTATATTTCTTTATTTCATTTCAGTAGGAGTTTTAGGAGGACTATTTTGCCATTATTACCACAAGGCCCCTTCAGTCTTAATACTTAGGCATTCCCATATAAGAATAGGCATTTTAGTCTCCATTTTATAAATGAAGAAACCAAGGCCCTAGGTCGTAGAGAACCTGTATTTCACATCTACTGATCCATTATCTTCCAGGTCAGGCTCAATTTTTCAATTCCCATTCTTTCAGGACCTCTGTGATATTTGAATCTTGCTTCCAAAAAGCATTCCTTTCCAACCAGCTAAAAAAAAGTTGCTCCAGTCTTTCTTTGAATCACCAACTTCAAGATTCGAAAAATGCGTTCAGTATAGTTAAGCATATTGTATACTGCATTTATATGAAATTATATAGCAAAAGTGATCAAATGCAGCCTAAATTGATTTTACACTCTCAGGCAGCACTAGTTTTTGGTATAACTCCCCGTTCCCTGCATAATCTTGGGCTTGTTTGAAAATACAGTGAACCCAGACGCATGCATTATGAAAACAAAAGGACCTAGTAAATCAGGCAATGTGTCTTTGTTGTAATAGCAATTGGCTTTTGTTTGAGAAATTTGCCTTTGAGGATTTTTGATATGCCATCAACTAAATCAGGATTGCATTCGACTTGTATTCACAGGTGGATCAGACTACGTGATAGTGTAGTTGGTTATATGTAGTGGTTATATGAAGAAATATAGAAATAATAGACTTATATTTGGAAGTTATAAGAATAGAATCATAGCAGTCTAGTACATTAGGAATTGCTGCCAGAAGGAATTAATAGAAATGGAAGATCGTTGCATTCTGAAATGGGTTTATGGCGTGGGATGCTGCATATAAGGAGCCCTGGTGGCGCAGTGGTTAAGTGCTTGGCTGCTAACCAAAAGGTCGATGGTTTGAACCCACCAGCCGCTCCACAGGAAGAAGATGTGGCAGTCTGTTTCCATAAAGATTACAGCCTTGGAAACCCTAGGGGGCAGTTCTTCTCTGTCCTATAGGGTCACTATGAGTTGGAATCAACTCAACGGCAATGGTTTTTTTTTTTTTTTTTTTTTTGGTTTATACTATATGTAGAATAAACTGAGATTCTGTATAGGAATATATTTCTTGTTCAGTCATTCATACCTTCTTTTAACAGTATTTATTGAGTACCTATTATGTGTCAGACTGTAAGTTTTCATGGAGTTTCCAGTTTGGAATACAATGGATAGTATCCCTCTGGAAGGTTGCAGGCAGGGATTATATGTTTCTTATATCCCTCAGCATGAATAATCAGCTGTGGAACTTGTTAATTTTGCCTTTGTAATAATACTGTTCTCTTCCTAGTACTATGAAATATTCCTTCGACAGTCCCGAGCGGAGCCCTGCCTTCTATTTCATGAAGGTGGGTACTGGCGTGAGCTCACAGTCCGCACCAATAGCCAAGGGCACACGATGGCCATCATCACTTTCCATCCCCAGGAATTAAGTCAGGTGAGACTCACAGGATCATAAGGGGCAGTTTCTGAAGCAACCTTTATTATTACTATGCTGCGACTGGTTTTTGGAGGTTTCAGGGCAGATAACAGAAACTATACCTCCGTGGAATATTAACGCAGGTCAGAGAGAGGGGTTGGAGATGAGGAAGACGAGATCGCTCTTTAAGCATGTTGCTGGTGTAGTCAAACCCTAGAGACTGTGGCTAGGTTACCAAGTTAATTATCACATGATGACTATGACTCTTAACTATTTTCATAAGAACTTTGCCATGGAGATTAGTAGGTGCTCCACTGGATCCAAAAACCAATTCAATAGAGATTAGAATGTAGTCAGAATTTCATGACCCAAATAACATGTTACATTTGTAATACATTTAGAGCTTTCAAACATTAACACAGTAAAACATTCCTGTACTTATTTGATCATCTCAACCAACTTGGGTTGCCATCAACTAAATCAGGATTGCATTTGATTTGTATTCACAGGTGGATCTGACTACATGATAGTGTAGTTGGTTATATGTAGTGATTATATGAAGAAGTATAGAAATAATAGACTTATATTTGGAAGTTGTAAGTAAGAATAGAATCATAGCAGCCTAGTAGTACATTAGGAGAGGTATTGTCAACCCTCATTTTATAGATGGGGAAATGGAGGCACAGAAGTACCCAAGATTAAAGAGCCGGTAAATAGCAGAGCTAGTACCTGAACCCAGGTCCTTTGGTATTTTTAAGTATAGCTCCAACATGGTTTATTGTGATACATCCTTCTGTCAAGCTAATGGTTAGACTCTCTGGAGTGATGTAGGCATTTTAAAATGTTCTGAACTCAAAGAAAGAGTTTAGTTACTATACCCATTCTCTTCTGTGCCCCCTTATTTCCTTTCTCCCAGGACATGCACTTTCTGAGGTGGTGTTTTGTGGGTGGTTGGGATGTTTGAAGTGGAGAAGTATGAAGGGAACCAAAAGGTTATTGCTTTTTTGCGATGGCACAAAAAGCTTAGTTTAGCTCCTCGTTTGCATTGTAATCCATCTCTCTCTCTTTTTTAATTGTGCCTTAGGTGAATGTTCACAGCACAAGTTAATGTCTCATACAAAAATTTATACACATTGTTTTGTGACAGTAGTTGCAGTCCCCACAATGTGACAACACACGCACCCTTTCCACCCCGGGTTCCCTGTGTCTATTCAACCAGTTCCTGTCCTTCCCTGCCTTCTCATCCTGCCTCTGGATAGGAGCCGCCCATTTGGTTTTTGTGCATCTGATTGAACTAAGAAGCACACTCCTCACGTCACACTTTCTTTAGAGACTTCTTAAATAGGCTCAAGCCAGAGAAAGTGCCACGGATATTGTATAGGATTTGTCAAGAGCAGATAAGCAAAGCAGTGCTTCCATTGAGATGTGGAAATAGCTTCTTTTTTTTTTTTTTTTTTTGTCCTATAGAACATTGCTTTATGTTAAGTGTTATTTATAATAGGATTTGAGAAGTGTGCCCTCTGGTCTGACTCCTGCAGGGCTGACCACTGTAGGGTTTGGAGAGAGAATTTGTCAGAGATGAGTCTTTGCTTGACTGCTGATTTCATGGTCTGGACAGGAGGAGCTCTGTGTCCAGAAGGAGACTGTAAAGGAGTTTTTCACCAAAGGGCCAGGAGCAGTCTGTGACTTGACATCACTTTACTTCCAGGAAAGGTAAACCTGGGACAGCCAAACAGCAAGTAGGAGGCTGAGGGTTGTCATACTCTGGGTTTGTAGATTACTAATGCAGAGCTGCTGATAGCTGAGGATCTGGGCTAAGTGATCCTGGCCCTCATACACCAGCCAGGTCTGGTAAGCCAGAGCAGAATGTATACGAGAGAGTGTCTGCATGTACCTCCATCCCTAAGAGGGGAGCTCCTGCAGAGCTTTCTGGGCCATAGCAAGGAGGCTTTGTCTCCTAGCTGGAACCTTCCCCTCTAACCAGCCACTAGAGGCACCAGTGAGCTGCTCTGCCCCCAAGATACATTTTTCTTTTCTTTTTTTTCCAGCACCATGACCCATTGCAGCCATCAGCAATCCCCCTACCAGCTCCTATTTGGGGAACCCCACATCTTTGAAGATCTCCTGGACTTGAAGATCCGCATCTCTCCAGATGCCTTTTTCCAGGTTAACACTGCTGGTGCAGAGATGCTGTATCGGACCGTGGGGGAGCTGAGTGGAGTGAACTCCAACACCATCCTCCTTGACATCTGCTGTGGAACTGGCAAGTGGCAGCCCACAGCCAAATCTATATGTTGCTTAGCTCACAAACACTGCCCGCCTAGTACACAGGGCCCTTGTAGCTTAGTGGGGGAGGGAGTGATGGTAATCCAGGCATAACCTCATTGGATTATGCCTAAGATATCCTGCTCTTATTCTCTCTTCTCCAGGTGTGATCGGCCTCTCTTTGGCTCGGCATACCTCCAAGGTTCTCGGGATTGAGTTGCTGGAGCAGGCAGTAGAGGATGCCAGGTGGACTGCAGCCTTCAATGGTACACTGCTCACAGTCTGGGGGAGAAATTGAGATGCACTTGTTTCCTTGCTATAGAAAGGGTTGTGTGGGAAAGGGTATCTATTGTATCCCCTGTCTGTGGTGAGGAAGGGAGGGGATTCTTGAGTGGTCAGAGTTGGATCCTGATGGTTTTCTGGAAAAGGTCCTAATGATTTTTTTTCTCTTCTTCTTCTTTTTTTTTTTTTAATAAATATTTTATTGTGTTTAAGGTAAAAGTTTACACAGCAAATTAGGTTCCCACTTAACAATTGCTACACAAATTAGTGATATTGGTTACATTTTTCACAATGTGTCATCATTTTCATTCATTCTGTTCTGGTTGTACCATTTCCAGTACTCTAGTTTCCCTGACCCTTTACTTCTCATCTTCGCTTTAGAGTAATTTTTGACCATCTGGTCTCCTATTGATGATTTTTTTTTTTAAAGGAGCTCATTACTCACAAATGATATTCTTTATTTTATGAGCCAATCTGTTATTTAGCTAAAAGGTGACCTCAAGGGATAATTTTTGCCTAATGACTTTCTCTAGTCTTTTTTTTTAATCAAGAAAAAGAGAGAGAAGGAACAAGCCTAGCTAATAGGAAGAGAAGTTGGTAAAACTTTGAACAATATAGAAGAACCTTCTTGACATTAGACTCATGAAGCATCATAGCATGCTACAATAGGTTTCGAGCTATTTTTAGCAGCAGAATCTTGTCTTCAAGCAAAATCTTATGCCAGACTACGATGTAGAAAACAGATCCTCTTGTCCCTTCTACTCCACCTCCAGACAGCTCCTGAGGCACTGTGTGAAAACCTCTGATAGAGCAGAAAGAGCAATTGAGTAAAAGTCAAGGTTCTGTTCTTGACATAGCTACTTATGTGCCTTGTGAGTCTTTAAGTTGTAAAATAATACTGTCTAGTCTCTCAAGTGCAAAGGCTTACTGAGACATTCCAAGGAAAAATACTTTGGGAAAAATGAAGCAAGTCCTAAAGCATTTCATTTATTGTTGTTGTTCAGAATTATGCTCAATCCAAAGGGAAAATGGCAGAGCCCTAGTTCCTGTACATTTGTATACAGCTGAAGATTTTCCCCCACTGCTGAGCTTGAGTTATGTCATGTGGGCCTCTCTCCTGCAGGCATCACCAACTGTGAATTCTATGCTGGCCGAGCAGAGAAGATTTTGCCACAGTTACTGAAGTCAAAGAATGATGGGCAGTTAATTGTTGCTGTGGTGAACCCAGCCCGGGCTGGACTTCGTAAGGATAAATAGCTTCTCTACTGGAGAGCTAGTTGGGTGCTCCCCATGATGTCTGCCAGCTTTTGGTCTGCATTTTCACACCATGCTAAGGGTGTTCCCAGTGGGCTGGCCCTAAATCTTCTTCTCTTCTACTCGTAACCAACCCTAAGTGCTGGTCATTTGGGAGTTTATCATGACCAGGAGGACCATGATAGTTTTATTATATTAATATCAAGATGTTTCCTCCTTCAGATTACCAGGTGGTTAGAGCCATTCGAAACTGCAGGGCCATCCGCAGACTAGTATTTGTTTCCTGCAAGCCCCATGGTGAAGCTACAAGGAACTTCATTGAGTGAGTCTTGATTTCTTTTTTAATTTACTTATTTTTTTCTGGTTACCAAAGTAATCCATACCCACCGTACAAAATTTGGAAAATGCAGAAAATAGTAAATAAAAGAAAAAAATTATGTATTATACCGCCATTAAGAGTCAGTTACAGAGCCAGGATCAGGGTGAGACAAGTAAGGCACTCACTTTGGGTGCAAAATTTAAGAGGGTGCCAAAAGTCTCAGTAACCAAAATAAAATTTTAATGCAGTATTTCCAGAAAATCAAAATTGATCCCCCAAAAATCCATGATAAAATATTAAATTTTTCAATAAAGACAGGCTCTACTCCTGTACTTGCTAAACCTTGTCTCACTCACCTCACCCTAATCCCTGACCTGGTTCCAATAAAACTTTATTTACAAAAACAAGTAGCCGGCCCATGGGCTATAGTTTGCCAATATGATTTTCTAAAATATTGAATCAGGTATTATTTGTCTTGACTACTGAGCTTTTCTTCTGCCTCTTGCTTCACTCTAGTTCAGGCCTTGGTCAATGATTTTGATTTTTGAAATGTTTTCTTTTTGTAATTTCTCTCTCATTAACAAAAAATACAATTTCTTTAAAACATTCAAACAACACAGGCAGGTATAAAGTGCAGATGACATATTTGGATAAAACAAGTGAGAATTAAAAATGAATGAAATGAGCTAGAAAAAGAACAATAACCTAAGGAAAGTTGAAGGAAGAAATCCATAGTGATAAAAAATAATCCAGAAATTAATGTATTACTAAACAAAAAAACCTGTAGACTTGACAAATAAACAAGTACATGTTTTTGGAAGAAGGAAATAAAATAGATAAGTAAACCTAATTGAGAATAAAAAGGGGCAACCCCCCCCAAAAAAAAACAACCACACATTGTCTTAAATAAGCAAAACAGCATAACTACAGATATAAAGGAATTTTTAAAAATTACAGTGAAACCTATGAGAGCTGGAACTTGACGGGACTGCCTTGTTTTTCTGGGTCTTGCAAGTTTTCCACCTTTGACAGGGTGTAGTCTTACCGGTTTTCTATCACTTGTTTTAGTGGAAAATATTTGAATTTTCCTTCTCTGACAAGTTTCCACCTTTCACAGGTTCTGACTTTTGCAGGTTTTGTTGTATAAGAAAGTACTTTTTATAACTCCAAATATATTTGAAAACCTAGATGAAATGTGATTTTCTAGGAAAATGCAAATGGCTAATATTAACTCCAGAAGATAAGTAAACCTAAACAGACCAGTAACCATGGAAAAAATTGAGAAAACTGTGAAAGCATCAGGCCCAGATGTTTTTACAGTCTTATTTCCTTGGCTATTCTTGCACATTTACTCTTCCAGCTGTAAATTTTACTTGTTTTCCCTGCTAATGGACATTTAGGATATTTCATCTTTTCTTGTTACAATGTAGTAATAAATATCTTTATATATATTCATTTCACATGTGTGTGAGTATATTTGTAGGATAAAGCCTCAGAAATGGAATTATTGGATCAACGGGTATAGATGCATTTGTGATTTTACTCTGTATCGCCAAATTTCCCTCCATAAGGATGGTACCAATTTACACTCTCACCAGTAATTTTTCAGAATTCGTGATTCTTTGTTGTATTGCCAGCAGAGTGTTTTATCAAATTTTTGAACTTATGCCAATCTGAGATGTAAAAAATGGTATCTCACGGTAGTTTTAATTTGCATTTCTATTATTGTGGGAGAGATTGAGCATCCCTTCATGGCTTATTTATAATATTCCTTTTCATATCCTCTGCTCATTTTCCTGTTGGGTTGTTGGTTTTTTTCTTATCAGTTTCTAGGAGAAAAGTCTTTGTGGTATGAATTGTAAATTTTTTCCTGTTTGTATTTTGTCTCCTGTCTTTGCTTATGGTGCTTTTTATCATGCAAAAGTTGCTGATATTTTTAAACATTTCTATTGAGATATAATTCATATACCATATGACTCACCTTTTTAAAGTATACAGTTCAGTGGTTTTTAGTATATTCAGAGGGTTGTGTATTTATCACTACAGTTAATTTTAGAACATTTTCATTAGCCCAAGGATACACCCAACACCCATTAGTCATCACCCCCCAAGCCCCACCCCAGTCCTAAGCAACCACTAATCTACTTTCTATCTCTATGGGTTGCTTGTTCTGGACATTTCATATAAAAGGACTCATACAATGTGTGGTCCTTTGTGACTGGCTTCTTTCACTTACAATGTTTTCAAGGCTTATCCATGTGGTAGCATATATCAGTACTTCATTCCTTTTTATGACCAAATAGTATTTATTGTATGGATATGCCACATTTTGTTCATCTTTTCATCAACTTACGGACATTTGGACTCTATGTTTAACATTTTGAGGAACTGCTAAACTGTTTTCCAAAGTGGCTACACTGTTTTACAGTCCAAACAGTAATGTATGAGGATTCCAGTTTCTCCACATCCTTGCCAAAACTTTTATTGTCTAACTTTTTTTTTGCTGTATCTTTTTTTTTATTCTTTTTTTATTGTGCTTTAGATGAATACAGAGCAAATTAGTTTCTCATTAAACAATTAATACACATATTGTTTTGTGTCGGGATACTTTTGGTTTAAGGTTTAAGATTTAAAGATTATCTCAGGGCAGTAGTTTCAGGGGTTCATCCAGCCTGAACAGCTCCAGAAAGTCTGGATCCTATGAGAATTTGAGATTCTGTTCTACATTTTTCCCCTTTTGGTCAGGATTATGCTATAGAATCTTTAAAAAAAATTTTTATTATTGTACTTTAGATGAAGGTTTACAGAACAAGCTAGCTTCTCATTAAGCAATTAGTACACATATTGTTTTGTGACATCGGTTACCAACATGATATGTAAACACTCTCCCTTCTCAAGCTTGGGTTTCCTATTACCACTTTCCTGTCCCCTCCTACCTTTTATTCCTTGCCTCTGGGCTGGTGTGCCCCTTTAGTCTTGTTTTGGTTTATGGGCCTGTCTGATCTTTGGCTGAAGGGTGAACCTCAGGAGTGACTTCATTATTGAGCTAAAAGGATGTCCAGGGGCTATACTTTTGGGGTTTCTCCAGTCTCTGTATCTTTTTTGTGAGTTAGAATTTTGTTCTGTATTTTTCTCCAGCTCTGTCTGGGACCCTCTACTGTGGTCCATGTCAGAGCAGTCAGTGGTGGTAGCGGGGCACCATCTAGTTGTGCTGGACTCAGTGTGTTGGAGGCTGTGGGAGTTGTGGTCCATTAGTCCTTTGGACTAATCTTTCCCTTGTGTCTTTGGTTTTCTTCTTTCTCCCTTGCTCCTGACAGGGTGAGACCAGTGGAGTAGCTTAGATGGTAGCTCACAAGCTTTTAAGACCCCAGATGCTGCTCACCAAAGTAAAATGTAGAACATTTTCTTTATAAACTGTGTTATGCCAATTGAACTAGATGTTCCCTGGAGTATATTGTCTACCTTTTTAATTATAGCCATCCTAGTGGGTGTGAAGTGGTATCTCATTGTGGTTTTGATTTACATTTCCCTAATGTTTAATGATGTTGAGCTTTTTATGTGCTTATTGGCCATTTGTGTATCTGTCTTGGAGAGGTGTCTACTCAAGTCCTTTTCCCATTTTTAATCAGGTTATTTGTCTTTTTATTATAGAATTATTAATAGTTCTTATATATTCTGAATATCAGTCCCTTACCAGAATCATGATTTGCAGATATCTTTTTCCCATTCTGTGGATTGTCTTCACTTTCTTGATAATGTCCTTTGTTGCACAAAGTTTTTAATTTCAATGATGTCCACTCCATCTAATTTTTCTTTTGCTGCCTGTGGTTTTGGTTCTGAGGTATGTTTTTAAGTAGAAATAGCAAGGTTCAGAATTGTGTGTATAATAGTAAGCTATCTTTGTAAAAAATAAGAACATGAAAAATATATATTTGTATTTGCTTGTAGATGCATAAAGAAACTAGTAAGTTACTGTCTTAGTTATTTAGTACTGTTACAACAGAAATACCACAAGTGGATGGCTTTAACAAACAGAAATTTATTTTATCACAGTTTAGGAGGCTAGAAGTATGAATTTATGGCACCGGCTCAAGGGGAAGGCTTTCTCTCTCTGTTGGCTCTAGGGGGAGGGAGGAGAGGTCTTTGTCTCCTTTCAACATATGTGGGCCTGGTGTTCCTTGGAGATCTACGTGTGTCTTGTCATCACTCTTCTCCTGGGTCTAGGAGGTTCTCAGCGTGGGGATCCTGGGTCCAAAGGAAGTGCTTCACTCCCGGCTCTTCTTTCTTGGTAGTAGTCAGGTCCCTCTCTCTGCTTTTTCTCTCTCTTTTTATCTCTTGAAAGATAAAAGGTGTTGTAGGCCACACTCCAGGGAAACTACCCTTACATCAGATCAGGGCTATGGTCTGAGTAAGGGCGTTGCATCCCACCCTAATCCTGTCTCATTAACATAACAAACATAATCTAATTCTCTTTAACATGACCTAATCCTGCCTCATTAACATAACAGACAGTTTACTCCCAAATGGGACCATAACCACAGGCATACAGGTTAGGATTTACAACACATAGGACAATTACATCGGATCACAAAATGGAGGACAACCGCACAATACTGGGAATCATGGCCTAGCCAAGTTGGCACATACTTTGGGGAGACAATTCAATCCATGACATTCTACCCTTTGGCCCCCCAAAATTCATGTCTTTGCTACATGTAAAACACTTTAACTCCATCATATCATCCCAAAGGTCTTAAATCAACTCCAAGTCCACATTCATGCTAGGACAAATTCCTCTTCATCTGTGAACGTGTGAAATCTAGACTATAAGTTATCTGTTTCCAAAGTACAATGCTGGAACAGGCACAAGGTAGACATTTCCATTACAAATAGGAGAAATTGGAGGGAAAGAAGGGATAATGGGCATCAAGCAAGTTCAAAACTCAGCAGACCAATTTACATTAGCTCTCAAGGCTTGAAAATAATCCTGTGTTCTCTAAGAC